ATTTCACATTCCTCGGCGTCCAACGCGAGATCCTTCCCCCCCTTCCTTTCTTCCCACTTCGTCCACTTTGTCTTATCTACTATCGCGAGCTCTCCTTTCGAGGAGAGAACAATCCTCACCTTCGGCCAATCGCCGCTCATTGCGAGAACGCAGGTTCGTCGTTCGGCGATCCGCAGGAGACGAACGGAGAATGACTGGCGAGAAATACTCGCGTTCCATTTTTCCTTAGAAAAATCCCGGCGAATCGATTCATCGAGGAAAAAAAGGAAAAAAGTCGCGCCTACCTGCGAGGCGGATTAATCGATTTTCGCGAGACTTGCCAGGCCGGAAGTCAGACCTCGGTCGCTCGTCTCTCTCTCTCTCTCTCTCTCTCTCTCTCTCTCTCCCTTCCGCGCTCTCGCGGAGAAATATTTTCATGGGCGGGATTAAACCGCCACGGCGCGTTTTAAATACGCTCGCCATGGAGTTACGCGCAATCTAATTACGCGCTCAGCTGAACGAGGCGTCGTCCCGCGCTTCGAGTAAAGTCGAGTCGAGTGTTACGAGAGGCGAGAGAGCGGCGCATCGCGTGCGAGCGCGTTTTGCGTGCGCGTTAAATTAGAATTTCCCCGTGTCTCCCGGGCGTCGTCATTCACCTTCGCGTCGCTTGAATTCCGCGCGCGGCCCTATATCCGCGATAAGGTTGTAAACGTCGGAACGGCGCGCACCACTTGGAATTAATATCGCGGATTAAAACAGCCTCGCGCGCACGCGAGTCGCCGGCGCGGTGCAAATTGAAAGTCTGCTGCGGGCTGCCGTCGCGCTACACAGGGTGTCCTGGACTTTGCGACGCGACCGAGAGACACGCGGTCGCGTCTCGGTCCTCGCCGAATTACGAGCGAACGTCGCCGTATATTGGCGCGTTATATTGGGTATTAAACTTAATTTTCATGGATTTACAAGAGATGGCGCAATGAGCACCTGATACGTAGCATCGGCCCATACTGAAGCCAACTTCGTATAAAAGCCCCGTCATTAGGCTTTAAGAATCAGTATATTTCATTTGGCCCGAATGTAAATAACATATCTTTTTGACACATTCAATATGTCGAATTTTGTGCCAACGAAACGCCATTTGCAGCAAGTGTTACTTTTTCTTTTCCATTTGAAAAAATCGGCAGCTGAAAGTTTTAGTTTGCTGTCCGAAGTTTATGGGTGTTATGCTCCATCGATCTCAACTTGTGAGTACTGGTTTAGACGATTCGAAAGAAGAAATTTTGTTTTGGAAGACGAGAAACGCCCTGGTCGACCGGAAAAGTTTAAAGACGAAGAGTCGAAGGCATTGCTGGACGAAGATCAATATCAAGCGCTTGAAGAATTGGCAGAAGCAACAACAACAACTAGTACAGCTGAACCGAAGAATTGAAAGAAAAACGACCAGAGCACGCCAAAAGACACGACAAACGTTGTTCGGCCACACCGGTCGCTAAACCGCTGAAGGAAACGCTAGAGCTGCTCGGATGGAATATTCTACCCCACCCGCCGCAAATTCACCAGGCATGCTCCTTCTGATTTCCACTTGTTTCGATCCATGCGGAATCACCTTTCTGCTCAGCACTTCAGTTCAGTTTAGAAGATATGAAAAAATGGCTCGGGATTCATGGATAACCAGAAAAAAACGAGTCGTTCTTCCGCCGAGGAATCCGCCTTTTATTAGAAAAATGGGGTTTGAACAACATATTTATTAGAAAAATGGGGTTTGAACAACATATACTTATCACTTTTTGTTTCGAAATAAACACGTTCATTTTCGCAAAAAATCCTCTTAAAATCAAGTTTAATACCTAATATCTGTCGAGTCGTCAAGGACGTCGCGCGTATCGCTCCAGATTGTTGTTCGAGACACTCAGAGGTGTTTCTCTTATCTCTGTATGTACCTCTGCTGCCGTCTCGACTCGAGATTCCGGTCGAAAAATGGCAGATCCGCCGCGAACGTCGGCGATAAGCGATCGTGCATGATGTATCATGTTGCGCGACGTTTTGTGCAAAGCACACGCGCGCGGGAGTCGGTGCAGTTTCCATCGCGGTGTAACTTGCCTCGACTTGCAATGACGCCACGGACGAGCGTCAAGTTGCTGGCTAATCCATCGATTTCCGCAAAACACCGCCGGCGTATGTATTATGGATGCGGCAGCTTGTTGCACCGCGCGATGATGTGTATTCGCGCGGGGACACGCGATCGTGTGAAATATTCCGTCTGTTATTTGCCCGCTCGGCTGTAAGCTCTACGCTCGCGCAACAGTTAATGATAATGTGACCAATGATGATTCGGCGTTTTGCATTTCGTTCCTTTTGGGGAACATTCCAGACGGAACTGTATGTGTGTGTGTGTGTGTGTGTGTGTGTAGGAAGGAACCTCTTTTGGATTCGCAGACTTTCGAAATATTCGCTCGCTTCGACGAAATATTTATTCGCGGGACGTCGAAGCTGCGGCAATAACGTGCGTAATCCGTGTCTTTTCTTCTTGCCGACTTCGCGATTACGAAGCAAATGCCCCGTTCGTGACAAACCGCCTTTCGTCTATAAATACCAACCGCCAAGCGTGAACAACAGTTATTACCTGCTATTTCATACGCGCGTACGACGCGATTGTATAGTGAGAATTAAAAAGCAAAGAGAAGAATATATATTCCTGGCATCTCCGGGATGTTAAATAACGACCGCGAGGTACGTCAGCGAGCGAATCGCTTCTCTCGTCTTTGAAGTTATTCGCGTTGAATTTGGCGTTCCGCGAGAGAGAGAGAGAGAGAGAGAGTGAGAGAGAGGGCCGCGAGGAAGAGTCGGCTAACGATTGTTGACATTCCAACGAGATGTCAACAATGCTCGAAATACATCTCCGGCTCCGACAGCGTCAACAATAGTCGCGGTGTTCCTGCCCGGCAGTCTGGCGCACTGATGATGTGTAAATAAAAGAGCGGCCCGAAACGATACCGTCGCCGAAACAAACGCAGGCAGTTTCGCCTCGTGAAATCGCGCATGCCGGCGGTATAAGCACTGGATGACCTGAGATAACCTTTCCGAGCTGTCACTCGCGAATTCGTACCGTTATCCCCGACGAAAATCGGAGCAAAAAGAGTACACAATCGTCACGCGCGCCGGAGATCCCCCCTTCCTCTCTTGCTTTCTGCCTCTCTCTCTCTCTCTCTCTCTCTCTCTCTGTCTCGCTCTCTCGCTCTCTCGCTCCCCCCACCCACTCGGCATTGAGAAACATTTATAACAGCGAGCCGGCGAGTAACAATATTATCAAGGACGAGCGTAAAAAATATCAGTCATGAAGCACAATTATTCTGGCGCGTTAATAGGCGATTTGATCGACGGATTCCGGCGGACCGAGGCGCGATTAGAGAGACGTCGCGTGACATTCGTAATTTCAGGAGGAAAAAAATAGCTCGTCAGATCGAAGGACTCGAGGCAACGGCCGGGTGTTAAGCGCGATGCGCGACAGAACAGGCTGAGTCGGAGAAGGGAAGACTTATACTGGGTGTCCGAGAACCCTTTCCGCCGCTCGCGAACGCGATTATCAGGGAAAGGGCCGAGACGCGCGCGCGCGTCTCGGTGACTTCAACGCGCGGTGACGAAGAGTCGAAAAAAAAATTCCGGACCGCGAATAGGGAAGACGTGAGAACGGGGCGCCGTTTCCCCCCCGATCGAGTCCGCGCGCTCGATCGATCGATCGACCGCTTAATCAATCGCTCTTTTAATTGCGCCGATTAATTCAACATAGTTATACCGTTTCGTCCGTCCCGACGATGAGGCGCGCGTCCTTTGATATTCACACACGGAGTTGAAAAAGAATCTACTTCCGGAAGCGTGCCGGGGCCGGCACGACTCACCGTTTCGTTTCGCAGCGCTCGCGCGATCGCACTTGCTCTCCGCGGGCGTAATGAACACGTACACGCGCGTGTACGATCGCTCGGCGTCTTCGGGGCCGTGAGTGCGAGCGAGCGAGCGAGCGGGCGAACCGAGCGATCACGACCTTAATCCGACGATGTCTCGCGCATTTCCGATCCCGTTGCATCGACGCCATGCGGCGCGGTGCCCAACGTCGACGTGACGCGACGCGACGCGATAATGACGGCGGCGGCGGCGGCGGCGATGACGATAACGAGATGACGACGGACACGACGGAGACGACAGGGATAGAGATGCGTTAGATCGAAAGAGAGAGAGAGAGAGAGAGAAAGAGAGAGAGAGAGAGAGAGAGAGAGAGAGAGAGAGAGAGCGTCGCTTTATATTGCGCGGCGGGCGGGGGCGGGTGCGAGTATGACGTCAGGAGAGAGACCTACGTTGATTTCTCGACAGACCTTCTTTTTCCTCCCTTTCTCTCGTCGCCCCCCCCCCCTCACTGGCGAGAGCTCCCCCTTCGCGCTCTCTTCTCGCGCGTCCGCGCGTTCGCGTTATTATCCTCGGCGTATGGCACGGTCGTTTTTTCAAAAGTCCTCGTCATTTTTCCGCCGCGAGCGTAGGAAAGTTCATCGGATCATTGCCGTTTAAAAGGACTTTGTCCTGGAGCGCGAAGTAAACGTCTCCTCCTGCTCTCCTCTCTCTCTCTCTCTCTCTCTCTCTCTCTCTCTCTCTCTCCCTCCTCCTCTCTCGCTGTCTCTCCTGGTCTCTCTCTCCCTCTCTCTCTCTCTCTCTCTCTCTCTCTCTCTCTCTCTCTCTGCTTTCGCTCACTCCTTTGCGTCGCCGCAACTTCTCTCCCTCCTTCCCTCTCTCCCTCTCTCCCTCTCTTGATCCGGCGAGCGATCACGGCGTCTCGCTCGCGCCTTCTCGATCCGCTCCAAAAGAATCCTCCGTGATACGCAACAGGTTATCGAAAGGCGCTCGTGCACATTCGCCACAGCGCGCATTCGCGAGCGCGCGTACATACACACACACACACACACATATGACGGGACGCGCGTATGTGTGTGTACGCACTTACATGATATATTTATATTTGCACACACGCACACACTCACCGGTCTCGGCGGCAACTGCCAAGGATCCGAGGAGGAGCGTGCAGCACAGGACGAGCAGCAGCGGGATTCGCGAAGGTCGTCGTCGCGCGTTCGCACCGTTAAAGAAGCACCACCGGTCTTCCTCGCGCGCCATATCTGCGTCGTCGTCGCCGACGAGGAGAAGCCTTCCTCCGTGTCTCGTCGTCTCGCTAAGAGGGGCAGATTCCCTCGCGGGAAATTCGCGCCGTGGAGAAGAGGCTGCGGCACGGCACGGTGCGTCTGCGCCTCCGGACGGAGTCCCGTGCACTCTCGCTGGGTTAGGCACTCGCGCAGACCCGGGGCCGGGCAAACGGGAACGCGGTGGAAAAGCGGCGAGCGCACTCGCGCTCGCGCTCGCGCGACGTCGTGGCGACGGGTGGCGGCGGTGGCGGCGGTGGCGGCGGCGGCGGTGGCGGCGGCGGCGGCTGCGGCGGCGGCGGCAACGGCGACTGCACTGGAGGCGGACGGGGAAGGACAGAGAAGGACGGAGCAAAAGACGAAGAGGGACAAAGGCGCGGGCGTATGGGGAAAAAAAGGGGGAAAGAGAGAGAGAGAGAGAGAGAGAGAGAGAAAAAGAGAATGAAAAAGAGAGGGAGAGGGGCGGGGAGACGGAGAAACGAAGGGCAGCGACTTGAATTTCAGCGGGGGGAAAGGGATGGGTGGCAAGGGCGATTGCGCCGCCGCGCTTACGAGCGCACCGAGGATGCTCCGCTGAAGAATCACACACTCTCTTGCTCGCGGCGATGCGATATCTCCGGCTGGCCGCGGTGCGTGCCGCGCGTTCGCCAGTTACTTTTCGCGCTGCCGTGCGGAGAGATCGTCCGTTTCGAGAGATCGATCGGAAATGAGAAACGGTCCGATTCGTAACGAGGCGCGCGGCACACTGACGCGCGGCGCGGCGCGCGCGCTAGCGACCGACCGAGCGAGCGAGCGAGCGAGAGAGAGAGAGAGAGAGAGAGAGAGAGAGAGAGAGAGAGAGAGAGAGAGAGAGAGAGAGAGAGAGAGAGAGAGAGAGAGAGAGTGAGGAGGCGGTCGCGAGGCAAGTTACTCTCCAGCGAGTAAGTCGGTGCCGAGCGGCGCGCGTTCGTTTTAAACCGGTACCGTCGAGCGGAACACTGCTACGGCTACGACGTTCGCTTGCGACGCGAACGACACGCTCGCTCTCACTATCCGACGTTCGCCACGTTCTCGCCGATCGCTCTCTCGTCCCCTCTGGGATACCCCCTGTTTGTCATCTAGATAAGCGCGTCCGCCGCCGGGTCATTTAGATGAGCGCGTCACGCGGCCCGCGAGATTCGAAATCACGCCTGGAGACGCGCGCGCGCGGCTTCGCCGGCACGGCGGACGAACTCGAGCGCGCGGGAGCGCGCTTTTCGGGAAATTGGTCGTTGGGAGGACGAAGGGCGTCTCTCTCTCTCTCTCTCTCTCTCTCTCTCTCTCTCTCTCTCTCTCTCTCTCTCTCTCTCTCAGCGCGAGTAGATAAGCCGCGTGACATTGACATTGAGCGGAAGTGTGCCACGAACGTCTGCAGATAAGATAAAACCCGGCGGTGGCTTCCAGTGTCTTTGGAATATATTAAATTTATTTCTTGACAACATTTGTGCGCGAGAGATTAAAATTGATTGGAATCAACGGAGATAATACTTTGTTGACTTGCATTGATAAGGAAGACAACTGTAATATCGCAGCAAGATAAAGGCGCGCCGTTACATCAGGCAGTGGAAGAATATACACATTGCGCGGCGACTGACGCGGCGACGTGTTTGTCTCAACAATCGTCTGGCAATCGGCGCGGACACGAGACCTATCGATTCTCCGCGGGCGGCTTCAGCAGTCGTCCGCCAGTCCGTAAGACAGAGAGGGAGAAGCAGCGGAAGCGCCGTCGAGCGAGGGGAAGGTTTCTCCGTAGGGCGAGTCAGGGTCCGGGGGCGAGACAGAGGGTAACTCGTCGAGGTCGCAGCTCGTCTCCATCAGGTGCGACGTGTCGATCGATTGATGCTGGCCGAGTATAACCTGAGGAGGAACCGCCGCGGTCGCGTGAACGATGACCCTTGACTGACGTCACACGCTCGCACGGTATATTTTTACCGTGAAATTCGCTCGCTCCGCGAACGTCCGGTGGCATCGCTTGACATCGGCGTCGCTAGGGAAACGTAACGCCGCGTTCACCTGTCGCCTCTGCCGCTCTTTCATCCGCAGCATATGCGACCTGTCGGCCGTGCGACGGATCAGCTCCACTTGGTCCAGCGCATCCAGGCTCGGCGCCAGCCTGGCGTCGCGTATCCTCGCCAACTCCTCCTTCTCCAGGATCTCCTCCGCGCGCTCGGCCGCCGAAGTCAGCCTCCGCTGGCTCTCCTCGATGAATGCACCCCATGAGCGGTGCCATTGCACCATGTTGGAGATCAGCTGGGCGTCCACGCTCAACGGCGTGATGCCGGCTTGCTCCAGATACCTGGCGACCTCCGCCCACATCTGGCCGAGCTTCAGCTGCAGGTACTCGTTGACGCAGCACATTGTCACCTGTTGGGCGCGGGGGGGGGGGGGGTACACTGTAGCTAGGCAGGGTACAAAGTGTCGCCTCGGTCAAGTCGGAGCGAATCGTGCAATCGCTCGCCATCGCAGAAACCGCTCGTTATCTTATCGTTCTTCTCGCTCGGATCTTGCCGAGAGAGTCGTCAAGTTTGAGATTGATTGTTCCAAGATTGTTTTAGCGAGCTCGTTTCTTTTCCGATCCTATTTACTGCGGCCATCCGCTTATTATCGTTATCTTTCCTCTTATCGCGGATATCCTCCCCGCTGAACTTACGCGATCCTCCGTCGGCAGCGCGTCCAGAAGAATCTTGTAGTGCTTGTCAGCGATTTCGTATCTCGCGCCGTCCCGCTCGATAATTTTCGCAATGCTGAAGATCTTCGACCGCACCGAGCCGATCATGTCGACTATGGTGGGGCTGGAGTCCGCGCTGAGCTTCGAGCTGTACGTATCCGCCCGCTGCCTGCTGCCCATCTGAGGCAACTCGCGATCTAAAAAAACGAAGCACGAAGAATTCGCCATGAAGATCCTCCCGCCGAGGGAAATTGCCGATTCGACGAGATCGAACCGCCTATGGAACCGTCGGCGCGTCTCTTAACGCCGATCCGGTCCTCCTCCTCCCGCCAGATAGCCGCGAGCAAGGACATCAGTCCTGTCTTCTTATCGGCGCCTCGCCAGGTACAGAGGAACGGTCCGCAAAAGGTGCCGTCGCACATGTCGGTCAGCGCGCCGAGATACAAACATTTCACAGGGTAGCTCGCTGTCTCGATTACGTCCAGCGCGGCGTACAGGCCGCCGTTCCGCAGGAAAATCTGCAGGTTCGCTGGACACCGCGCCACGCACTCCCAAACGTAGCAGCCTATCGCCAACAGGAGCCTGTCGAAGGGACAACAACGAAGAGGAAATCGGTCGCAACGTACGTTCGTTGTGTTTCGTTATGTAAATATTTTACGTCTTGCTTCTTCTTCTTCTTCTTTCTCAACACTAGAACCCAGATTTCAAGTATTGCATCTGTCTCGCGTCTCGCGTTTCCCCAACGTTTCATACTCACAGGAGGTGAGATTACGAAAGGAGACTAATTACGACGATATGCAGAAAATGCCTCGCCACGTAAAGCGTACTCGTCGCATATTGAACCGTTACCGTTGGTCCACTTGAAAGTCATCCTTCTTCTGATGCAAACACTTGGCGAAGATCTCTATAACGAGCTGGACGCTCCGTTCGCCGTACATCTGTTGAACAGATGTCTGTTTTTTCACGAGGCCCTCGAGGGCGATCAGCAGCAGCGTCAGGATTCCTTGCCTCCTCGTCGTAAGCTTATCCAGAGCCACGATGTCGCTGATTAGTTCTGAAAGCCGAAGAAGAACGTTCGCCTCGGACAATTCATTGTTGAACAATGGAAATTAGCAATGTCTCGCGATGCTTCTCACTGATCAGCAACGGTATCATCCCACGCTTCCGAAAGTCCTCCAGCAACAGCGCGTCGTTCCGCAGGACTATCGAACAGATCGTCCTCGTGAATATCATCGCGAGGTGCTCGCCGTACTTCTCGTGCGAAACTCGCTCGACCGTCGCCAGTAATCTGCGAATGTTGAAATCTATTCTGCGTTCCGTTCTCAACGTTTCACTGACATTTCCGTGTTTCTTTTTTTTTTTTCTCTTTACGCAAGTGTGCCCTTCCGCTTCACAAATTCCGTCGTTATCCGCGGCGCCAACAACGACAGGATGTGCATCGCGTACTCCAGAAGGATCAACCTTGACGACGCACTTGATCCTCCGTCGATTTTCCAGCTCGCGTAGAATCCAATGATCCGCAGGATCACCGGTATGACCATCGCCTTCCTCATCACCTAGACGTTCGGGAATCAATCAATCAGCATCTTCTTCATCGAACAGCGAACAGCTGAGATTTCACGGAAAATCGGCAAGAACGAATTACGAAGACACAAATGTCCAGGTGGGCGAGATGCGCGACGATCGTCAGCAGGATCCTCTTGAAGAAGAGGTCGTCGTCGCTGTCGGAGAACGTCACGTCCTCCGCCCATATCCTGGTGCTGCCAGACTCGATCGCGCCCAGAAGACCGACGATGAGCTCCGCGATGCCGCTGCCGACGAGGTCCCACGACGACGGCAGGGCCACGACCCCGGCGAGGATCAGCGCGGCGATGTCGTTCCTGATCCTCGCGTTGACCGCTCGATGTCGGCCGCGAAGCACCTGCCGCTGGAACGAGTACCTCAAGCCCCTGCGCTACGTCGAAAAGCCCAAGGGTTTCATGCCCGACGCGACCGAGTCGTCGGCGAGGGACACGCGACGTCGTGCACGCGGGGAAGTGGCGATAGGTTAACGCAACGTTATCATCGGCGAGTAATACCACATGGCGCACTGCTGGAGCGCGGGGAGGTCCTTCAGCAGGCAGTCCGGCAGCGGTTTCCCCGCTGGCAGCACCGCTCCCATCAGCCTCCACAAGAGGCTCGTTATCAGGAGCATGGTGTCCCACGGATACTCCTCACCTCCGAGCTCGACGTCCGGCGGCCTGGTGCAGCGCAGCTGCGTCGCGTACGGCAGGTCCATTCTGATGAGCAGGGTATTCAGTACGCCGGCCTCCAGCATCCTGTAACCTTCACCGAAGAATACTTTGAAGGCTTCTGCCTGCGCGGAGCGACGTCGCGGAAGCGCGACTCCTCCTCCTAATGCCTTCTCTTCAACCCGTCCCGTCCCGTCCAGTCCAGTCCAGTTCAGTTCTCCAGTCCGTTGGTCGCGCGCTGTGTTGTCCGTCGGAATAATATTTGAATAAATTAGGCGCGCTCGGTACGCGCGAGCATTCAATATGCTAATCCGCCGCGCCGCGCCGCGCCGGACCGTTGCTCGCTCGGCAAAGTTCGACCGGCTCTCGCGAGCGAACTCGTTGTCTCCCTTTTGTCCTTGCTTTTCTTTCTCCTCTTCTCAGTGAGAATGTTTACGAGAGCGAGAAGAAGCCGCCGGCTCGTTCTGAAAGGGACTCCTGCGCATTGTCGCGCGACCTCGATTGTTCGGATTCCGCGGGCGACTACTCACAGCACTGACGCGAGACCGAGGCGAGCGTGAAAGCCAGCTCCAGGAGCTTCGGGTAGACCTTCGGCGTAGCCGCCTCCAGCAATTCGGCGACGATGACCGGCAACCGGGAGTTCTCCATGGCTCGCAGGCGGAAGTCCAACCTCGCCGCCGCGACATTCGCGGCCGGTCTCGCGCGCTCGATTAACAAGCTGTCGAGGGCGTCGCGGATCCGCTGGATCTGCTCTTCCCGCGGCACGATCGTCAGAAGGTAGCCCAGCAGCGTGAAATAGTGCTCCATTATGACGGAGCGGGTCAGAGTGTCGGAAGAGCGCTCCAACAAAGGCGGTCGACTGCACAACTGCAGCATGCGATCCAGATGCGCTCGGTACTCGTCGACGGTTCTGCACTTCCACGCGAGGAACTCCAACACGCTCATCACGGCCGGCAGGTGTTTCAACGGCTGCGGCAACGGGTGCGAGTCTTTAAGGAATCGCGCTTACTCTGAACGATCGTGGGAAGTGAAGCGGAAGAGGGCTGCGAGCTTCGATATACAACGGTCTAACGTCCATCCTACGTTTTGATGAAGAGAACAGCGCGTTCTCTCCCCGCGTTCTCTTTTCCGCTTCTCTTTTCACCGTTTAACGGGTAGGCGAAGAATCTCAGCGAATTTTGCGAGCCGAGCGATTCTCAGAAGAACGCAAATCAAAGGATACGTAACCCTCGTCGCCGATCTCACGGAGATAATCGCAGAGCAGCTGCGACAGCCGCGGTACGTGACCGCCGCTGACGGGATCCGACACGAGTTCTCGCAATTTGTTTATCGTATAAACGGCATCGATCCTGCGACACTTCCCTGAGTCGTCGTTCGCGCGCAGTTCCGGACAGTTGCAGGTCGCATATTCCGGACGTGCGGATTCCTTCGCAGGACGACGTCGGCTCCGCCGACGTTTCTGCTCCATTCGGCTGAATTATCCACGAGTGACGGTCATCCATACAAATTAAGCCGATTTAATCGCCGATCTTCCTACGACGTTATTTCATTAGTCGTCGATAATAAATTAACTTCGCATCGCTCGCATCGACTGTATCTTGTTCCGCTCGCGGTATTCATGACCGACGTCATTCCGGTTCTCCGGCTTGATACGTTATCGGCAAATTAAGATGACTGGGAGGAATGCTCGAAAAGAGCAAATCGCGCCAAACCGGCAACACGTGTTGACGATTAATGAGTAGCGATCGATGTACGTGCGTGCGTGACGGCAGTCTCTCTCGCGTTCGCGAGCGAGCGAGCGAGCGAGCGAGCGAGCGAGCGTGCGTTTATCGAATTAAAGGGACTTGACTTTCGCTAGAATAAATTACAACGGCGAGCATCGCGATAAAGCTCAATATTGTTAACCATCTCGAGCAGCGTCTCTCTCTCTCTCTCTCTCTCTCTCTCGTAGGTAAGAAGCGCCGTCCGCGAGCTGGCGCACTCTCTGCGCCGACGCGCCAACCTGGAAGCAGATGGCTCGTGCGGCGCCTTTCTCCTTCAAATTCATCCGCATTGTTCCTCTCGCGATCGTTGCGCAATTCGAAGCCGAGGGCGAGCCGCACTCTCTCGCGACTCAGTGTGCTCCTCCACGCGACCGGCATCACCGAGCCCTGACGTCAATCTGCGCGGAATTGTTGTCGCGTCTCGTGTCTTCAAAAAAATGGCAAGGCCGGCGCGCGTTTGAAAACTCAACCGAAACCGACGGCAGGTGCGGTTCGCGCACACACACACACACACACACACACACACACACACACACAGGTAAAAGAGCTCTTTCGTACAGAGGGTACACTCAGCTTCGTCTTGTCGACTCGACTCGCTTCATCTCCGCCGCGGAGTGTCACTGATGATCGCAGCCCAACCGAACAGGTAGTCGTCCTCCGTCGG